TGTCCCCGTCGAACCTAGTTTAAAGCCCTCCTCACTAGGTTAGCCAGTCTGTGTCCAAATAGGGTCTTTCCCCTCCTCGAAAGGTGAACGCCATCTTTGCCTAGCAGTCCTTCCTCAAATAGCATCCCGTGGTCTAGGAAGCCAAAGCCCTCCTGGCGACACCATCTTCGCAGCCAGGCATTCACCTCCATGATGCATCTGTCTTCCTGTCCTTTGACAGGAAGAATCGAAGAGAATACCACCTGCGCTCCAAACTCCTTCACCCATACTTCCAGAGCCCTGTAGTCACTCTTGATCCGCTCTAGGCCACGTCTATACTTACTGGTAGATTTGCACTGCTGTAATCAATGCAGCAGGTGTTGATTTAGCAGGTCTGTTGAAGACCCACTAAATAAATGGGAGAGTGCTCTCCCACTTATTTGTGTACTCCAACTCCCTGAGAAAAGTAAGGGAAGTCGGCGGGAGAGCATCTCCCGTCGACACAGCACGGTGTAGACACTGCATTGAGTCGACCTAAGCTACGTCGACTTCAGTTACGTTATTCATGTAACTGAAGTAGCGTAATTTGGGCTGACTTACTGCAGTACCATAGCCCAGCCCGTAGACTCTAGATGTTAATATTGTCAGTTTAGTGCCTAGGAAGAGACTAATGTTTTTATCCTATTCTAAAAATAGGTCCTGCTGGTACTGGTAAAACAGAATCTGTAAAGGCCCTTGGACACCAGCTTGGCCGCTTTGTTCTGGTTTTCAACTGCGGTGAAATGTTTGACTTCCAGGTATAGTATCTTTCATTCAACATGAGAACATTGTTCGTTTTAAGTTAAGATCTCATTAATATGCCCTTTAAGCTTGTAGATTTCAAAACGTTTGAAAGCTTGTTCCTGTATCTGGTAAAATAGATTATGGTTACTTTACTGTGCTTCATTGGACCTCACTACCACCTAAAGCAGAATTGGGTTAGAAGCTGCCTGCTCTGGTTTTTAGACAATAATTTAGCAAGGGAAAATTTGAACTGCAAGCTTTAGGAAGGTAATTTAAAATATTTTCAAACTACAGTCTTCCATTACCATCCCCCAGTCATATTATGTGACCAACTGAAGTAGACCTACTTTAGTGGAAATCAAGTAGGTGTGACTGGCTGACCCCTAATGGATATGTTGCTGCACATACTCCTTATCTCAATGGACTTCCTGATATATTGCAGATTCAGAACTACTTTTAAATTCTGCTGCAGGTTTAGGAATGTGCTTGCAGAGATTTTAGAATTATTAAGTAACAGACTTCTCTAAAGAGGAGTGGAAGTTGCTTAGTAGTGCCTTATACATTCTAGAACATGGAAGTTGGCATTCAAAAACTGAAACATCTGAGAAGCAAGAGTGGTGTGAGTGGGAAGAGAAGAGTGGAGTGGTGGGTAGAGAAGTAGTTGTTTCTGTTGAAAGCATAAAGATTCTCAGCAATACACACACATTAAATAGGGGGTTAATATATGTAACCACAATCCTATCCAGTCTACACCAGTTCCACTATGTACAGGGAAGAATAACCAAGGTAACTTTTTTTTTTTTTCCCCCCCAGTGTGTGTATATTTAAAGCTTATCTTCTCTTTTTCTCTGCCTACAGGCAATGGGACGCATCTTTGTGGGGCTCTGTCAAGTGGGCGCATGGGGCTGCTTTGATGAGTTCAACAGACTTGAGGAGCGTATGCTTTCTGCTGTTTCTCAGCAGGTTCAGTGCATCCAGGAAGCCTTGCGAGAACATTGCAATCCAAACTATGACAAGAGTATGCAATTTTTTTCATTGCTAATGGTTTTGTATAGCTGTGCTGTCAAAAGAATGCCCTCACTTGCATGTCTGAAATAGGTCCTTTTGAGAAATCTACTTGATCAGTTACTCCCACATTGGCCAGGCTTTTTTTTTTCCGGGGGCGGGGGGTTGTTAAATTTGAAAATGTAACTTAAATATTAAACAATTAAAGGAAGTAGCTTTCAACTGATATGCAGTCACTTTCAACATTGTGTAACTTTAGTGTAGTGGTAGAAAAAATGTTTGACTAGTTGTACAGTAACTCCTCACTTAACGTTGTAGTTGTGTTCCTGAAAAATGCGACTTTAAGTGAAACAATGTTAAGCAAATCCAATTTCCCCATAAGAATTAATGTAAATG